TGATTGCAATACATAAAACACATATCGCGGACGGTCTTCTTATTACTAAATCATTAATTTGTTGGTCTTCTTTTATTTTTTTCCCAGATTGCACTAATTTGCAAAGACGAAGCAGCACAGGTGGAGGTAATGCTGACAAACCAACAGAGCAACAAACCGAGGGTTTTACAAAGAAAATGAAAGACAAACTGTTTCGTTCAGTGGCGAAGGCCTTTGCTTTTTCTGCAGCAAAGGATGCGACGTTGTACCCATCGGAGGACATTTTTTTTACGGCACTGCAAATAACTGTCAAATTGATAGGAGAACATGCGGAGCAAGGACTATGGTTGCACATGACAGCGAACGGAATCCGAGTTGTGATCGGGGAATGCAATCGGATTATAACAACGGTCCGATGCGAGATATCATGGCAATTGAAGCATTGTTTTTGGGCCGAAAAAGATCTACCGCTGGTCCGGTCAGCTCAAACGGATCACCATCTTCCGACTCGCAACAGGATGAGGGCATAGATGAAGGGGAACACAACATGGAGAAGAAGCGGGAATGATCCGTGGGGCGCTCCTCCTTTCAAGACAGCACTGACAAAAGTTTTTCAAATGAGAAAAAATGACATCAACCTTGGCGTAACGTTGCAGCAACTAGCATTTGCGGAGCTGGTACTGAAAAGTGAAGTCGAGCAGACGACAAAGACTAGTAAAGCAGCGGACCAAATACAGAAACTTGCAGCTATCAAGAAAGAGATCGCTGCATCGGTCCGCTCCCGAGACACGGTCTTAAGCTTTTCTATCTTCAAGCTCGACCGTGCTGTTTCTGTTGCAGACAACGTCGTCGCATTGTACAGAGCTGGGTTGCCTGCTGTGTAGAGGGGAGACGCAAATAACATGACTACAACAGATGATGATTTTGATCTTGAGTTCATTACGCATACCGTGGACAAATGTGCGGGCAGAGAGAGAAACGAAAAAAGTTTGTGTGGAAGGCCGTAAAAAGGAGAAGAAGAGGTCCGGAAGTGGATCGAGGGGGGTTGGGGGTGGAACAAGGCCAGTGTGGGGAGGGAGGTGGGCGATGGTGTTGAAGGGGATATGATTTGCGCCTCCACTGACAGTCAGTGGCATGACACACAGCCAATGAGGACCAAAGTGTAAAATGAGAGAGAGAGAGAGAGAGAGAGAGAGAGAGAGAGAGAG